TAATGGCTTAAAACAATATTATTTATCTTACTCATAAATCTGGAGTCTAGGCAGAAGATCCATATAAGAATCAAAGAAAACCTAAATAAATGGAGTGATACAATATACTCATTGACCGTAAAAACTCAGTATTATTAAGATGTCAATTCTCCCCCAAATTACTGTGTAGATTCAATACAATCCCTATCAAAATCCAACAGGAATTTTTTTGTAGAAATTGAGGCCAAAATTTATATAGCAATGCATAAAGCCAAAACAACTGTGGAAAGATAAGTAGCAACACCACCTGATTTCAAAACTTGCTATAAAGCTACATTAATCAAAACAATGTTATTTGTATAATATACATACATATATATGTATATTGATGAAACATAACAAAGAGTTCAAACCCACACTTCATGTAGGTTTTTGACAAAGGCACAAAGTTAATTCAACCAGGGAAAGAATAACTGTCTTTTTAACAAATGCTGCTGGAGCAATTGGATATATGGGCGGGGGAAAAAACAACTTACAACTTTATATTTTTTTAAATAGCTGAAAATGAGTCATAGACCTAAACGCAAGACCTAAAAACGTAAAACTTGTACAAGGAAAACAAGAGAATTTTTATGAACAATCATTAATTTTCAAAAAGATAAATTAGAGTTTATCGAGATTTAAAACATTTTCCCTTCAAAAGACACTACTAAGCAAATAAAAACACACTGCATTTGGAGAAAAATACAGTCACTTTTGTTATAACAATTATTTTGAGAAGGCAAATGTGTTCCTCCATGATATATTATGAATAATTTGAGCATAACATGAATTTCACACTGACTGATGTGCAACTACATCTACAAGAAACACTAGGTGAATAAACAAACCTGCACTCATCTGAACTGAGCCACAGAAGTATACAAAAAATGCATACATACATTCAAAAATCTAGCAGTTACCTCTATTCACTGTGTTTATTATCTTTTAAGGTTGTGTCTTGCTAGCCTTTCACATTTGTGAAGAGATATATATATATATAGCAACATCCCAAACATGTCTAAGTATCCTGATTCAAAAACACCAAACAATGCATGTAAAAGGAAAGTTTTAAGTATTAATGAGAAGCTTGAAATAAAGCATTTTGAAAGAAATGAGACACATATGATATCTCTTCAGCAACAGGCATAAACGAACATACATTGCAGACCATTGGAGGCAACACTGAAAAAAAATAAATTCCTATGGCTAGAACAACCTTGAGTTCTGCAAAGTCAGTAAGAAGAAGGCCCAAAGAAATAAAAGCAATGGAAAAAACTATTAAGTAATATGGGTTAAAGTGAAAAAATCATAAACTTTTCCCACAAAGTACTACCTATATACAAAAAAGGAAAAAAAAAATACCTTAAATATAAGTCACTAAATCCTGCAGAAACAATTCCTTAATGCTATTACTGGCTAGTTTGGTGGTTTCAATGTTAAGAGCTGTAGGGCTGAAAAAACAACTTTAGGGTGACAGTTATTTTCTATCAGGATTAAAAGGTATTATTACACTGCCTTTTGGTTTTTATTACTGCTATTAGTAGTATAGCTGTCTTAGGAAAGTTGTCTTTTCTCCAGCTGCTTTGAAGAAAGATCTTCCATCTTTGAGGCTCTGCCATTTTATTATGCTGGGTCTAGACATGGATTTCATATCATTTATCATCCTTGAAAAGTTTGGGCCTTCTTGAATTTGTGGATTAGTATGATTGATCGATTCTGGAAAATTCTTAGCCTTTCTCTCTTCATATTATGCCTCTAACCCATTCTCTCTCTCCTCTATTGTTGATACTTAAACATATGTTGGAGCTTCTCATTCTATCACCGTTATTGTTTAACTCGCTCTCAAATTTTCTCTCTCTTGCATTCTGGATCATTTATTCTGATGTGTACTTTATTTCATTAATTCTCTCTTTACTTTTGTCTAATATGCTGCTGGATGCACTTATTGAGTTTTCAAGAGATGGCAGACATGGAAAACTGGGACTAGTGAATTGTAAAACCAGAAAAATTAGCAATGTTAACATTTGAGTTATATCTATAAAAACAATTCATTCATCCATTTATCCTAGTCCCTAACCTTTCAATATGGATTCCCCCAGAAGCAAACCATAAGCTAAGGATTCAAGTAGCTTGTTTTGGGTGAAACTGTAAGGAACACTGCTATGGAACTGGAGAAGTGAGACAGGAAAGGAAGGGGTTTATTATCAAGCAAGTTACCACTATACACAGCTGAAGCTTGATCTTTCTGAGGAAATCTGGAAGAACAGTGTGTATTTAAGCTTAAATTCCTAGAATTCACTTCCAGAGATTCTGATTTAACAGTTTTAGGGTCAATTCTAAGAATCTGCATTTCTAACCAAATCTCAGGAAATGGCAAAAGGAACAGTGGATCACACTTTGAGTGGGCAGTGTTGTCGAACACGCTTCTGAGGGAGTTATCCTGCTCCAGAAACAAAGAAACTGGCGTATCTACTCACCAAATCGCACCAGTCATTGTTTTAAAAGACCGCTCTCAAACAGCATTAATTCATTAATTCCTTGGTATGTTCTACCTGCCCACAAACAGGCACAGCAGGTATCTGCAGCCAAGAGAAACCACTAAGGAAATGAGTCGCAGGTACTGGCACTTGGAAATCAGGTTGACATGTATTGAAATGTCAAGGAAATATGAGTAGAGTACTAAAAGCATTTGCCACTATGGCTATATATGGTATCATGTGGAAAATAAACCACCAAGAAATTACACGAATAAATTACAATTGTGAGAAGTATTGTAAAACCCTAAAGACAGCCTCATACTATTTCAAGTGGCAACTTCCTGGAGTAGCTGTAAATCTGTACTTGCTTTCTTTTAAAATATATTTATCTCTTAAATCACCTAAAGAGTTAGCAACTACAAAGTTAGGGACTAGTCCACAAAACTACCCTTATTTCAAGAGTTCCAAGAGCACCTTCAGATTTGATAACTGGAGAGACTCAGAATTCCCTGAAAGCTGTTATACTCACAGCTACAGTTCATAACAGGGAAAGGAGACAGATTAAAATCAACCTAGGTGAGAAACACATAGGGCAGAATCTAGGAAAGTAATAAATGCAGAGCTTCCAGTTGCCCTCTTCTGTGGAGTCATGGACAGTGTTACTTTTTAGTATCAATGTGTGACAACACAGAGAATACTGCCAACCAGGGAAGCTCACCTGAGCCTTGGTGTCCAGAGTCTTTAATGGGGTTCCATCAAGTTGCATGATTGACTGCCCACGTGGCTGATCTCAGTTTCTAGCCCCTTAGTAAGTTCAGATGATACTGCTTGACTCAAAGTCCAATCCTAAATCACATTACCATCTGGCATCGAACAACATCCCCAGGGAAACAAAGACACTTCTATCAGGTATGACATTCCAAGGGCTTAGAGATTACCTCCCAAAAGCCAAGAGCAAAGACTAGATCTCTTTCTGGGCAAGTTTAAATTTACTACACTGCACCTTTCCCTGCTCTCATTGTGTGTGGTCAATGTACTAAGAAGCCCTGATCTTCTTCTCTACCTTACTGTGTTTAACTACCAAATTATGATATTAGTAAAAATGTAACTATGTGTGGACTTTTGAAACGAATTTGCTTTCAATACTGCTAGATCTTGATTAGTATTTGGGAAAAAAAATCAGTTTATTTGATATTTAAAACCCAACCAAAATTAACAGCTCAATCTTATTCTAACATCACCAGCATACTCTTCTTTTTCCATATGTTGATCTTCACTGCTAAAATATTTCATATTTTTGCAAAATATTGCTCAGGATAATCAATCCATGATGGAATATCTTTCGTTTAATATCAGGATGAAAATCTGGCCTTTTGAAAACATATAAATGTGCATCAGATAATTTTATTTCCTTTCATGAGATGACTACAATACTTTAAGAAAACTATTTAGGAGCTTATTGTGCTCCGAGGCAGCAAAAGTAACTTCCTCAAACTACCTAAAAACATGAAGACTGCTACTGTTTAAACATTAGCTGCTGGTGTCTCTAAATCATTATGCTTCAGATAAATAACCTCTGCCACACAAACTACTGAGTGACACATAGAAATGCAATATCTAATCATCCTTTTCATTAAAGACACAGAAACGCCTAACAATTTTATTTTTGGTTCAATTAGGTATCAGAATGCCCCCTGCTGGGCACTTTGTAATATATCCCTCAAAAAATAAATCTTAGAGTATGAACATTTAAAATTTGATACAAAAAATAAATGTTAGAAACAAAGCTCTTATTTTATAAATGAGAAATCCTGATGTAATATTTAAGAAAATAATCTTAGCAATATTAAAATGAGTAAACATGAATCATTTTTTCCAATTGTGAAGTTCATTCATAAAAGCACTAAAACATTTTTTAATCTTGAAAAGAAAAAATATTTTCCTCTGAATAGAAGTACCCACAAAAATGTTACCCAAACAAAATAGAAAATACATTTTATCTAAAAATTAATGCTAGAATTTCTTAATGAGGGCATAATATTTAAGAGAGGAGCTAAGAAAACTCTAATGAGGTTATAAAATGTATTTGATATTATTTGGTATTACTTTGTCTGAAAATCTTGAAAGCGAACATTTTGCTAAAAGTACACAGGAAATAATTAAATGTATTTTGATCCATAAATAGCATATCATAATGAATAATCACCATTAGAATGATACAATAAATGTATATATTTTCTAAAAAACTGAAGATATATGAAAGCTACTAAAAAAACCTAAGTAAACTTAAATGCATAAATAAAATGTTTTCAAACAAACCATAAATATATCCTCCGAATATTTCACCTTGTGTTAAGATACACATTCTCATTCCTTATTATGTTAATGAAGTTATGAACATTAAGTGAAATGCTAAATCTCAGGCAGTTTTTAGACTATCAATTGTTCTTAAGGATTTCCTGCCCTCTAGTGGTATCTGCCTTAATATTTTCACTGCAATTTTCAACAATACAAAGACACATCACTTCTACATTTACATTTTGAAATTATATCACACTGTATGGCAGCATCTAATTTTTCTTCCATTACAGGTTCACTCTCTGTTTGCACCCATGCTTCACATTTTATAACCTCTAGTATGCAGTTATTACTGGTTTTATTTTGTAATGTGTGTGTTGAATTACACTGAGACTGTGCAAGCTCATCAGTATTATTTTTCATTGAGAACTTGGGAAAACTCTTTTGTTTATGGATTTCAACACTGTTTTTAATAATTCTATTATGTGGATGTTTTGCAATTCTTTCTAAATAAAAATTATTAGTTGTTTCTTCAGTTTTGATGGGTCTCCTATTTGAATCTTCAATTTGCTGCAATATTTGATCTTCATCTTCAGATGGCTGGAAGAAATTCAGTAATTTTACTATAATAATGTTTAAATTAAAAGAAGAAATTCAGTAATTTTACTATAAATAATGTTAAAATTAAAAAGAATCATTCAATCACTTCAAAGTGTAAATTCTTAAAATTCACATTACAAAAAAACTTCAAAACACAGAAGAGACTGGCAATTGCAAATCAACCTGAATTTTTGGTTGTTAAAAATCAAGGAGTTTATGAACTTTTAAAATAGCAAGAATAATAATCTTTGTATTAAAAATACAAGAGTTACAGAAGGAAAGGGAGATAAGGGTAAGGGGAGTCAAATATTTGGTGACAGAAGGAAATTTAACTTTGAGTGGTGAACACACAATGCAATATACATATGACGTACTACTAAATTGTATATTTGATTTTATTAATCAATGTCACCCCAATAATTTTAATTAAAAAATAAATAATAATTATAAAGTTGTGGTAGTACTAAAACAAAAAAATACAATAGTTTAAAAAGGGGAAATTTTATTGCTTATTAGCATCCATTCACAAGGAGGAAATGATATACAACATTCTTCAACCATTTTTAAAAAGAGTGAAGTAGAAGTAATAACTTTGAGAAAACCAGCTAACACATAAAACTTGTTCTACTATTCACTCACTGACTTAAGTAAAAAAAAAATCTATATTATACTTCTAATGGTCCCAGTCTCATAAAAGATATAACTTAAGGAGAGTTACCAGCTAACAGGAAATCAAATAGCCAAAAGAAAAGTTAAATAGCAATAAATATCACAACTGTTGCATAAAAAGTCAAATTTTAAGAACTTTTAATAAGTCTAGATTTCAATTTACTAATTAGAAATCTCTCAATCTCATGGAAAATTTATCTTTTAAACACTAAACCAACTTTTCATGAAAATCTTATATAAAAGTATTGATTAGTCAAGCTATGAAAAAAGTAATGTTAACATAAAAATCCTAAAATGAGCTATAGGCCTCAGCTGATTGGCACTGAAATAGAAAATGTAAGCCTAAGAAATAGCATTGAGACTGTCTAGGCACAAATTAGAGAAAACAAGCTCAATATATTTATTTACTCAAGAAATAAAGATTTATCTAGCATCTGCAATGTCATCTGCAATGTAAATGAAACATACATGATTTCTACTCTCTTACAGCACACATTCTCATGGGTGGAAATGACAACCAAATAATCACACACATGTACATACAGTTACAAACTGAGAAATACATTACAAATAACAAGTATGAAGCACTTTGAGAGCATAACTAAGGGGCATAATTTAGATTGAGGCGCCAAGGAAGGGCTTTCAGAAGAACTGACATATTCGAGCTAAGACCTATAGGAAAAATAAGAGCAAGGTAAAGGAGACAAGATACATAAATGCCCTGAGACAGAAGAGAGACTGATAAGCTAAATAAACTGAAATGACAGTATGTTTGGGCTATGGTGAGACAGGGAGAATACTAAGATACTAGAACACATATTGTTTATAGCCACTGTAAGTAGTTTAGATTCCAAAGTAAATGTGATCCACTGAATAAAGAAAATAACATAATTCAAGTTTTCAAAAGATCACAATGACTGCTAACTGAGGAGGAGGGAATTATGGCAAGAGTAGAAGTAGAAAGATCTCTTAAGAAATAACTGCAATAGTTCAAGAAGATGATTATGGTAACTTAGACTAGGGTACTGACACCAGAAGTTGAAAGTAGATAAATATGCAATTTATTGTGGAGGAAGAATTGACTGGATAAAATGGAGTAAATGTAGTTAAGGAAAGCAGATGAGACAAGAAAGAATTGACAATGTTAACTACTAGTTTTCTGGTGTGAGCAACTGAGTGAACAAAAAAGTATCTACCCATATGAGAACCATCAGAAAAACTGATTTTGGGAAAAGATCTGGGGGCATTCAGTTTGAGGTATGAAAATAAGATTTCTGAGAAATATCCAAGAAGAAATTAGATATCTAAAGAAGGATCTGAGCTAAAGTCAAAGTTGAGCAGTAGTACTAACCATATGAGGAGCATATAAAATTATCTAGAGTTTGAAGTGTAAGCTGAGAGTCCTGTAGCAAATCCTAAACATTACGACATTTAAATACAGGGAAAGGTGGAAGAGAAGTGGGCAAATGCATGAAGTAGCATTCAGAGAAGTATGAAGGAAACCAAGATAATGTGTTGTCACAAAAACAGAGAAGAAAATGTTCTCCTGCTCCCCCCAAAAAAGAATCATTTCTACCAATATTAGGAATTCTCATAGAAACTGAAAAGTGTCCAATGAATTTGGCAACATAGACGTCACTGATGTCCTTCATTTACTAAGAGCAGTTTGAAGAGTGATCTAGAGACAAAGGGCAGATGAAATGAACATGGAAAAACGGAGAATTCCATTTAAAAATGTGATTTAAGATAAATGCAGCATTCCCACTCAGAAAATAACATACCACTCCAATTTTTCAGATTATAATTTACAATAACATTTCATAGTTTTCTTCATATAAGCCTTGAGATTTTTTGAATGTATTCTTGGTTGTTTTAGATTTTCAATTATTGTGACTGGATTCTTTTAAAAACCCTTTTAAAAGAAACACAATTTTATCATCCCGTACACATACACACACGAGTGGCTTTTGTAAATAACTACGAACACATTCATCATCTTTATAAATGTGAATGAATGATGCTTATTTACATTTCTTTTACATTCTTCTTACATGTTTAATATTTTTCACATTTTGTTTATATTTATCTCCACTATTGGCTCAAGAATTTTTTCAGAATATAAACTACGAGAAATACAAATAATTCTAAATTAGTAGAATATATATTAACAAGCCAAAAATGTAGGGGAGAGAGGACAATAACTTACCATTTCCGAACTAGAACTGAAACAACTATCTGTTGGCCTTGGAGAGTAACTGGTGGTCTGACTACTCTGTGAAGAATCAAGATCTGAAAATAAAGGTTTAATTTATAAAGAATTGTATTTGTTAATACTCTACAAAATATATACATAAGCAAAAGATATCTGCTGGTAAAATTAACTACAGAGCATTTTAAAGTATGCCAAAACTATTTAACATTTTGGATACTTGGCAGCTTATATTTCTGACAGGATATTATGGGTTTATTCTACACTTAAAAGAGTTGTATCTAAAATAAGGTACATAACATAAGGAAACATAAAAGAGAAAACTGAATTAATTTTCCAACATATGAACCATTTATGAGTAAACAAAGTGTCAACTTGCAGAAAGCAGGTATAAATCAAGTTTATTAAGTACCAAGGCACCAGATATTTGCTAATGTAGTAAATGAACCTTCAGTGTACAATCTAAACTGTAGGTAAAAAAGGGAAAAAATATTCAAAGCATCCAGAATGATATTCTTTCATTATTTGCTTAATATGTTCCATTATGATTGGAAGTAAAGTTTAAAAATGGGCCTAAAAAGTAGTATGACTTCCTACAATGCAAAAATACTATAGATCAACATTAAGTTCAACCACTTCTCTCTTTGTGAAAATGGGTTTGCTATCAACAAAAGCAAAAGGTAACAGAATGTGGAGCAACAGCTCAAATCAAATCACATACCCTCCTACATGCAATAAACAATGAGTACTATCTGTTCATGCCTTGGTCAGGACTGATGCTCTCTGTAACAGAAACTAACCATCAGTCAGCTAACAGAGAGATTTTAGCTGAAATCGGATACCTTTAGTTCATCATTCTAGAGAGAAATTTATACCCCCTTGCAGCAGGTTCTCCCTGAGAGTGGAAAGCAGAGTACAACAAAGTGAATGGTAGAATTTTTAATAACAACATACTCTAAGGGTATTCCCCTATAATAAGGGGAATACAGTAAACCCAGTGTCATCAGTAGAAAAGACAAGTGTATAGTGAATAGGCCTTAATGGTGTAAGAAACAGTGCAAATCAAAATGTAAATGTAAATGCAATTAAATACTTATTGAGTACTTACTTTATGTAAGGCACTGTACAAGTTCATAGGGATACATGTCTATAATGCTAAAAGTGTTCACAATCAAGTAGCAATAAAAGTCATAAAAAGTATAAAAGTAAGAGAGCTAAGTATGATGAGCTCTAAGGAAAGAGATCTGGTTACAGAGAAGAGTTACAGAGAAGGCACAAGTATGAAGAATAGGTTTTGATAGATAAATAAGCATTTTCCAGAAAGATAAGATGAAAAACAGTATATGAAATGGGGGTGGGGGGAAGTGTAAGGGCACACTTTAATGTAAAGAATCTACCAACGTATCTAACACAGGATGGATTAAAGAAGGGTAAGACTGGATGAAAGCAGGTCAGTTGAGAGAGTAACTCAATGATCTAGTTATAAAATGATGAGGATCTTCAATAAAGCAATAAAGTGAAACTGGAATAGAGAATAGGCAAGAGATTAAAATTTCAAGAAAGCTTTCAAAGAGTCTTAATTATTACATGTAGCTTTAAAACTTCTTGTGACTCAGGTTTAACATTAATACTAAAATCTGAGAAAGACTGCACACAAAGAAGACATTACAACTGATATCACAGAAATTCAAAAGATCATAAGAGGCTACTATAAACAGGTATATACCAAAAACTGGACAACCTAGAAGAAATGAAAAAATTATTATAGACATAAAATGTACCATGACTGAATCTGAAAAAAAGAAAAAATATGAATATACCAATTACTAGTAAGGAGAATGAATTGGTAATAAAAAATTTTCCAACAAAAATCCAGAGCCGAACAGCTTCACTGGTGAATTTTACCATTTATAAAGGAATTAATACCAATCTTTCACAAACTCTTCCACAAAACTAAAGAGGAAGGAACACGTCCAAACTCATTTACTATTATTCTAATACCACAACCAGAAAAAGATACTACTTGAAAAGAAAACTACAAGCCAATATCCCTGATGAATACAGATGCAAAAGTTCTCCATGAAATACTAGCAAAGCAAATTCAGCAGCACATTAAAAGGATCATACACCATGATCAAGTGAGATTTACCCCTGGGATGCGAAGACAGTTCAACATATGCAAATCAACATGATACATCACATTAACAGAATGAAAGAAAAGAATCATATAATCATCTCAACAGACACAGAAAAGACATCTGACAAAATTTATCCATTCATGATAAAAACCCTTAGCAAATTATGCAAAGAAGGAACATATCTCAACATAATAAAGGCCATATATGGCAAGCCCACAGCAAACATTATACTCAATGGTGAATGGTTGAAAACTTTTTCTCTGAGATTAGGAACAAGACAAGAGTGTCCACTCTCATTTCTCTTATTCAGCATAGTACTAGAAGTCCTAGCTAGTGCTATCAGGCAAGGAAAAGAAATAAAACATATCAGAATTGGGAAGGAAGAAGTAAAACTGTCTTAATTTGCAGATGACAAGATTTAACATGTAGAAAATTTTAAAGACTCAACCAAAAACCTGGTAGATCTAATTAATGAATTCAGTAAAGTTGTAAGATAGAAAATTAACATGTTAAAATCAATAGCTTTCTATACACTAAGAAACTTTCTGAAAAGAAACTGATCCCATTTACAATCACATCAAAAACAAAAAAAACTTAGAAATAAATTAAACTAAGGAGGTGAAAGACTTCTATTTGAAAACTATAAGACATTAATGAAAGAAACTGAAGACGACACAAATGAAAGGTATCCCATGTTCATGGATTGGAAGAATTAATATTTTTAAAATGTCCATACTACCAAAGCCATCTATCAATTCAGCGCAATCCCTATCAAGATTGCAATGGCATCGTTTTTACAGATGTAAAGAGAAAAACTCCTAAATTTATGTAGAACCACAAATGACCCTAAAAAGCCAAAGAAATTCTGAGAAAGAAGAACAAAGTAGGAGGCATCACATTTCTGAATTTCAAGCTATCATAAAGCTACAGTCATCAAAACTGTAATACTATCATAAAAATAGACAAGTAGACTAATGAAACAGAATCAAGAGCTCAGAAATAAACCCAAGCATATATAGTCAACTAATACTTGTCAAGGGAGCCAAGAACACTCAATGAAGAAAAGACAGTCTTTTCAATGAACGGTGCTGAGGTAATGGATATTCAAATGTATCAGAATGAAACTGGACCCGTATCTTACACCACTCATTTAAATTAGCACAAAATAGATTAAAGCTTAAATGTAAGATCCAAAACAAAGAAAATTTAGAGGAAAACAAATAAATCTCTTTGACGTGGGTCTTGGTAATGATTTTTGGATATGACATCAATAAAATTAAGTGGGACTACATCAAACTAAAAAGCTTATGCACACCAAAAGAAACCATTAACAAATTGAGAAAACAACCTGTGGAATGGGAGAAAATATTTGCAAACCATATATCTGATAAAAAGTTAATGTTCAGAACATATAAAGAACTCATAAAACTCAATGGCAAAAATAAATAAATAAATAATCAGCAAAGGACCCTAATAGATATTTCTCCCAAGAAGATATAAGAAAGTCCTACAAGTACATGAAAAGATGCTCAACACAGTGATGTTAGGGAATGTAAATTAATCACAATGAGATACCACCTCATGCTTGTTAGTATGGCCATCATTAAAAAGACAAGAGGTAAATACTAGAGTGGATATAGAGAAAAAGGGTGCCCTTGTGTACTGTTGGTGGGACTGTAAATTGGTACAGCCACCATAGAAAACTGTATGGAGGTTCCTCAAAAATTAAAAATAGAACTACTATATAATAATCCAGCAATTCCAATTCTGGTAATATATCCAAAGGAAACAAAAACACTAACTCCAAAAAATATCTGCACCTCCATGTTCATAGCAGCATTATTTACAACAGCTAAGACATAAAAACAACCTAAGTGTCCATCGATAAAGTTCTTTTATATAAATTGTGTGCATATAAACACACAAATACGTATACATGCACATAGAGAATGGAGTATTATTCCACCATAAAAAAAAAAAAAAGGAAATCCTATCATTTGTGACAACATGGGTAGACCTAGGGAGTATTATGCTACATGTAATAAGACATATACTATATCTCACTTAGATGTGGAATTTAAAAAAAAAAAATCATAGAAAGAAAGATCAGATTTGTGTTACCAGTGGCAGAGGGTGAGGAGAGGGGAAACTGGAAGAAGGTGGTCAAAAGGTACACATTTCAGATATAAGATAAGCACTAGGCATGTTATGTTCAACCCAGTAACTATAGCTAACACTGCTACATAATACACAGGAAGGTTTAGAGAATAAATCCTATGAGTTCTCATTACAAGGAGAAAACTTTTTTATTTTTTCCTAAGAAAATAAATATTAGATTACCACTGATTGTGGTAATCATGTCACAATATATGTAAATTAAACCATCATGCTGTATATCTTAAATTTATATAGTAATGTATGTCAATTATTTTTCAATAAAGCTGGGGAAAAAAAGAAGGAAATCTTGTCATATGCCACAACATCGATGAAATTTGAAGATACAGTATGCTAAATGATATAAGCCAGTCGCAGAAAGAAAAATATTACATGATTCCACATATGTGATATAGCTAAAATATTCAAACTCATAGAAACAGAGTAAAATGATGGTTGCCAGGGACTGAGGGAAAAAGGAGGTGTATATATACTGTACTCTTGGAAATTATTGGGAGGGTGAATATATTTGTTTTTTTTTGCCAGAATAAAAAAAACTCTATGAAGAAAAACTAAGTCATTTCCATTTATGCCATAAAAAAAAATCATTTCCATTTTTGCCAAGAATGTCTTTTCCAATTACTAATTCTCTCAAAATCTCGTCCTAAAAAATCCTCTCTAAATAATCAACACACATGCACCTAAGTTCAAAATCCACAATCTTAATACAGAAACATGGAATGTGTATACACACTAAAGTAAAAACAGAAACACCAGAAAGTATCTACAGCTAAGTCTAACAAGAGAGGTGTACAATATACTTGAGGAAAATTTTAAGGTACTTAAAGGTATTTTAAACACCTATTAAAGATACAGAATTAGACTAAATTAATAGAAAGATATCCCTTGTTCTTAGATAGGGCTATTAACATAATTAAGGTTACATTTCACGCTAATATACACGTTTATCATTTTCCTAATAAAAATTAAGACATTTCTTAAGAGTTAAGACAAGTTGATTTCAAAGTTTATATTATAAGAGAAGAAAAATTCTTTTTAAAAAGTACAAAAGGATGTGTAATTCTTTTAGAAATTAAACATATTATACAGTAATCAAAATAAAAATGCTAGTATGGTATTAGCAAATGAAAATTAGGATATTAGAAAATCGAAAAAGTGCCAGACACTTTTGTCCATAAAAAGTCAGCATAAAATTTAAAAGACCATTCAAATATAAAGTATTTACTACACACAAGTCTATAAACAATTAGTATCTAGGATATATAAAACATATATAGGATACATACATATAGCTATAGCATATAAAAGACACTTCTCTCAAGGAGAGTCCAAATTCCTAAAGAAACATAGGCAACAGGAATGAAAGACATTTCACAGATGAAACATGGATGGCCAATCAACCTAATTAATAATCAAGGAAATATAAATTAAAATTACAGTGAGATATAAGAATGCCAAAGATGACAAAAAACTGATCCAGTGTGAGAATATATAAGAACTAAGACTCTTATCTCTTGCTAGTGGAAGCTTAAACATGCATAACTACTCTGGAAAACAATTTTGCATATCTAGAAGAGGTGAAGATGTGCATATTAGATGAGCTAGCCAATTCTATACCAAGAATTATATCCTAGAGGAACTTTTTATACATGTGTGCCAAGAAAAATGTCAATAATTGCCAAGATAGCATTGTTTATCATAGCAAAATAATCAAAACAACCTAAATAATCATTGCCAGAAGATGCATAAACTGGAATACATTCATTATATAGAAGGCTGTACAGCAGTAAACAGATAATGAAATTACTAGAGTCACAAGTTTCAAAGCAGATGAACCTCAACAAATATTACTGGGTGAACAAAAAAAAGCAAGTTGCAGAAAAATGGAATTTGCCTCAATTTGTAGTAAGTTCAAAACAAAGCAATGGAAAAGTCTATGCATGATGCCCCCAAAAATAACTTCAGATTAATTGTTACCTCTAGGGGGCAGTGTAGATTATGCAATTGAGAAGATTTTCAAAAGTACTGATTATGCATTATTTCTTAAACTACAAAGTGAATACAAAGGTATCTGTTTTATTATTTGTTAAACTATGTGCATACATTATATATACTGATCATGTATATTATATTTATGAAAAATAAAAGTAATTTTCAAGAGTCATATGCAGCATTAGTATATTAGAAGTTTACTATGAAACATACTTGCTGGAAAAAATCTAAAAACAAACACTTAAAAAGTAACTGATTTCCATTTAAATGTAAATATTTTTAAATAGTAAATTTCACTTACTGTTATACTGACAGATTTTCTTTGTAGATGTTGGTGTGCCTTTTAAAGAACACAGTCCTCCTCCTTCCACCAGATTCTAGAAGGAAAACAAAACTTTAACAACTCCCAAGTATACACAGTAATTAATCCACTTATAACTCCCTTTTAACTCCACCAATTCATTTTACAGTACTCTTCCTTCGTATTATTTTAATTCAACAAAGATAATTTTAAAACCAAGGGAAAATTGTCTACGAACAGTAAAGGAAATGAAATTAAAATTGCTTTCAAAACACAAGCAAAAGAATAAACACTTGCTAAGAAAATAATTACTGACAAACAAGAAATGCTTCAGGTAATCACAGTAAAAGCAGTTGAAAAAAGACAAAGATATTAAAGCAATTTGGAGTTTTATTCTGTTATTCCCTTTCTAATTTCTTAAGTTGGGTAGCAGCTCATTTATTCTCAGGTTTTTTTTAAAATAAAAGCTTTTAGAGGCATAAAGATTCTGTAGAATACGCCATTGGTTTTGATTTCTATCAATTTCTACATAATTTGTAATTTACTTTCATTTTTTTATCTTTTTTTAAACCCAGAGTGTTTCTTAATTTCCAAGAAAGTAAGGGATGTTAGGCATCTTTTTTGTTGTTGATGATTTCTAATTCAATGAATTTTTATTAAAGAATGTGGCTACGAATCAATCCTTAGATAAATCTTAGACTTTATGGCTTACTACATGGATTATGTTTACAAATATATCATGGACTTACAGAAAATACCTATTCTCTGTTGATGGGACATGGAGTTTTAGATAGGTAGGATAAAGGAGAAACCATGTAGCTGCAACCAAAACTGTCTCCCTTCCCTCTTATGCATCAGCTAGACTACATTTCTTAGCATCCCTTGGAATTGGTTTGGATGTGTGATTTAAGTTCAGGTCATGGGCAGAAGTGGTGTACACCACTGCCAGTCCTGACCCATAAAAATTTCTTCCACAATACTCCACTTCCTTTTCCCTTCTGCTCTCTGATATCAACTTATACTACAAACATGCAAACCACCAGTTGAAAATAGAGTCTCCACCAACTTAGAGCCCTAAATAACTTTATGCAGTGGAGCCTCTTCTCTAATACCACTATTCAATCATTTCTAAAGTCTTGTATGTTCAACTTTTAAAAATTCAAGCCCCAGACTTGCAGCAGAAACACACAAGCTTTAAAAGCTATAGACTACAAGGCTTGCATACATTCCTACACCCACTTCAAATCTGTTGATAGAGGGTAATAGACAAAGATCATCCCAAAGAGAAGAAACCGAATTGTTTCAGGAATGTGCCCGTCCTCTAGGACAAGCCTTCGCAATGCCTGCCCAGCAGGTTTCATAATTGGTATGGATCAGTAACTCTGTATCTTTTCTCTTCCCTTTTTTGAATGGGCTATTAATTGCATTTACACTATTCTTACTCCAATACTCTATCTTTTCTTTATGTCTATCTGTTGCTATCTTTTTATTTTCGACTTTTATTATTATGTTCTACATGTTTCTTGAAAAATATATATAGATCACTTTTTCTTCTCCATTTGATATTCTTAGAACATTGAGAAAAATCACTCCTTCATATTTTACATATTAATTGCTAGGCAGGTTTCATTTCTTACATTTTATCTTTACCATTTACAGAGAAGTGGTATCGCAATTTTTCCCACCTTGATCAGATTTGCTACTGTGACATCCTTACTCCTTTGAATTTTGAAGTCCTCTATCTTCATTTCTCTAGTGATTACCTTCCCATTTTAAGCAATCATACTTAAACCTTATTCCTCTACTATTTTAGCATTAAATACGTTCCACCTCAAGATAGTGACATAGGAGAATCCTACAACACACAAAATCTATAGCTACATATGGAACAATTTCCTCTGAGAGAAACCAAAAATCGAGCTGAGATTTTCCTACACGTCAGGCAAACAAGAAAAAACCCACATCAAAATGGGTAGGAGAGGCTAAAACACAATTTTACCATGAACCCCGCCATGAACCCCACCCCAGACACAGCAATCGGGAGGGAACCCACAATTCCAGGCTACTCCCTGAGAAGCAAATGGTTTGAACCTCATATCTGGTACCCAAACTTGTATGACCTGCATCTGAGAGATAAGGCCTCAAAATATCAAGCTTTGAAAGCCAACAGAGCTTGTGTCCATAAGACCCTTAAGCTATAGTGAGCTGGAAACAGATCTTAAAAGGCTCACCCAAGCTCACCATAGCTATACTTCAAAGCCTAGAATAGAAGCCCAGTGAACTACCCAGGCTTTCTGAAGAAAAAAAAAAGCCTATCAGCTTATCTTGATAGCTGTAGTCTGATGGGCAGGCTTCTAATTAAACTCACATCTAAGGGCCAACTGTATCCCTTCCTAAGACCTCAGAGTCTGGATGCTATTTTTGCACTCTCCTTTTGCCTCACTCCAGATTGCCAGTATCTCCCCAAAAAAGAAGTTAGTGCTTATGTCTGGTGCCTCAGTTTTTGTAGCTTTTGACCAGGGAACGCCTCTTGATAACGTGGCTCTGACAGCCAGCAAGGCTTACATTCATGGGTACCACAGAACTATATAACAAACAGAGTTCTTAACCAGCTACCCACTCCCTCCCCCACCCAGGGAACAACACAGTGACACAGACTGAAACATACTCCCAATCTTTCTGTGAAAGAGGCCTATTAGTTTATCTTCATACCTGTGACATGAGGGGCAGGTTTTAATTAAACACACGTCTAGGGACTGACTACAATCCTCTCTAGAGACCTGCTCCACCTCAGGTCACCAATGTCTCCAAGAAAGACACTTGTGCACACATCTAGCACTCAGCTTTTGTGAATGCTTCCCAGAAGACACATTCCTTGATAGCCTGGCTCTGGTGGTCAATGGAACTTTGGTAGTTCACAGGTTCAATAGGATGGTAGCAAACAAAAAAAGTTCTTAAATGGCTATTGCACCAGGGCTCAGTACAAAGGGAGCAGACATAATTACCTATTTCTAAGTCTTCTCATGAAAAAAGTATATTTGCATACTTAAAAACAAGACTCATCTATATACCTGAGAGTCCAGTTTCCAATCAGACTGAATCTAGGTGCTGCCTAAGATCCTCACCATTGATTGGGCCACTGGCAGTTTTGGCACACCCTCAACTATCAGAAGCCACAGAAAATAAAGTAGGCTGCCTGGACAATCACAAAATTGAAAGACAACCAAGAGGTGAGAGAGGGTTGAAATATAAAGTTCATCTACTACACGAAGCCACTCCTTCAAGATTAGGAGAGGTGGCTGTTTTATCTAATGCACAGAGACCAACAAAAAAGTCAAGCAAAAGGAAGAAACATAAGAACTGATAAAGTCTCAGAAAAAGATCTTAATAAAGTGTTTTAGCTGATAAGAGATCAAAATAAAGATGCTCACCAAGGTCAGGAGAACAATACATGAACAAAGTGAGAATTTCAACAAAGAGATAGGAAAAATAAGGAAGTACCAAGCAAATCGCAGAGCTAAAAATCACAATAATTAAACTGAAAAATACAAAACAGTTCAATGGAAGACCAGATAAAGACAAAAAAAGGATCAGCGAACTTAAAGACAGGGCAGTGGAATTTATCCAATCAGAAGTGCAAAAAAAAAAAAAAAGAGTAAATGTAGTGTACAGGACTTATGAACCAATATCAAGTAGACCAATATTGACATTATATGGGTCCCAAAAGGAGAAGAAGAAGAAAAGGGGCCAGAAAATTTATATGAAGAAACCATAGCTGAAACTTTCCTAACATAGGAAAAAAAACAGACATTCAGATACAGGAAGCCCAAAGAGCTACAAAAAAGATAAACCCAAAGAGATCGCCTCCAAGACATATTATAATTAAATTAACAAAAGTTAAAGACAAAGAAAGAGTCTTAAAAGTAGCAAAAGAAAAGCAACTTGTTACATACAAGGGAATCTTCATAAGACTATAAGCAGATTTTTCAACAGAAACTTTTCAGGCCAGAAGACAATAACATGATATATTCAAAATGCAGATGGAAATAAAAATGCCAACCAAGAAAACTCACCCAGCAAAGCTGTCCTTCATAAGATGAGAAAAAGTTTTCCAGAGAAGCAAAAGCTAAAGAAGCACATCATCACCCAACTAGCCTTACAAGAAATGTTAAAGGGACTACTGTAAGCCAAAAGAAAAGGGCACAAATTAGTAATGGGAAAATATATAAAAGTATAAATCTCACTGGTAAAGGTAAATATATAGTAAAATTCAAAATAATTTAATGTTGTAAAGGTGGTAGGTTAATCACTTATAAAGCCTGTATGAAGGTTAAAAGACAAATGTAGTAAAAATAACTATAATAATTTGTTAACATATACACAAGATAGACAGATGCTATTTGTGACATCAAAAACATAAAATACAGTGAGAGAGAAGTAAAAATGTAGAGCTTAGAATGCAGTTGATTTAAGTTTTTATCAACTTAGACTGCTATAAATATAAGTTGTTTTATATAAGCCTCACTATAACCAGAGCAAACCTATAGTAGATACACAAAAGAGGAAGGAATCTAAGCATACCACCACAGAAAATCATCAAATCACAAAGAGAACAAGAAAAAAGAGTAAAAAAGGAATTACGAAATAACCAGAAAACAGTGAACAAAATGGCAATAAGTCCATACCTTTTAATAATTAAATGTAAATGCTCTCAATTCTCCCATCAAAAGATATAGAGAACCTAAATGGATTAAAAACAAAACAAAACAAAACACAGAAACACTCATCTAAATGCTGCCTACAAGAGACTCACTCACTTCAGACATAAGGACACAGACTGAAAGTGAAGGGACAGAAAGAGATAATCCATGCAAATACAAATGAAAAGAAAGCTGAAATACCTGTATGTATATAAGACAAAATAGTTTTTAAGATGAATATTACGGTAAGAGACCGAAAAGGCCATTATATAATGAAAAAGAATATTACTCAGCCATAAGAAGAGATGATCACCCTAGAGCCCCATGGGAATTTGAGCAAACGCTGCCAGATCATCACAACAGGGTCTGAAACTGA